GGAGGGTGGGTGATGGGTATTGAGGAGGGCACCTTTTGGGATGAGCACTGGGTGTTGTATGGAAACCAATTTGACAATAAATTTCATATATAAATAAAAAAAATAAATAAAAATAAAAATAAAATCTCTGTTAAATAAAAGAAAAAAAAAAAGACCCTGGTGAAAAGGGCTACATTGCCCCTTTCTAACTGAGTAAATATTGTCAAAATCTATTAGAGGTTGAGACACAGTAGATGGAATATGGATTAAAAAAAACAAAGCAAAACCTTTGCCTTCACCATGACCCTCAAACATTTATCAACCATCAACCATGTGCCAGGTTGTAAGGACACACAGAAAACAAATGATGCCCGCCCCCTAGGAACATAGCCTTTCTGGGGCAATAGGATATATACAGAAAAAGTCAAATCAAGGTTATATAGATGCCACCCATAGAGCACTTTCTATAAGCTGGGCCTGGGGACTCACAATAAGCTTGTGAGGCAGATATTACTAACCCCACATTACTTGAGAGGAAACTTGTAGTAGGGCTCTCCATGGAAACAGAACCAATAAGGTATAATTTATAAATATATGGAAAGAGATTCATTATGAAGGATTGGCTCATGCAATGACGGAGGCTGAGAAATCCTGCCATCTACCACGTGCAAACTGAAGTTCCAGTGAAGTCTGTGAGGTAGTTCTAGTTCAAACCTGAAGGCCAGGGGTGCCTGGCTGGCTCAGTCGGTGGAGTGTGTGACTCTTGATCTTAGGGTTGTGGGTTCAAGCCCCACGTTGGATGTAAAGATTACTTAAAAATAAGAATCAGAAAGAAAGAAAGAAAGAAAGAAAGAAAGAAAGAAAGAAAGAAAGAAAGAAAGAAAGAAAAGAAAGAAAAAGAAAAAGAAAAAGAAAAAGAAAAACAATCACCAAAAACTGAACGCCTAAGACCCAGAAAGGCTTATTTTTGAGGGCAGGAGAAGACGAATGTTCTAGCTGAAGCAGAGAGAACATTCACCCTTCCTCTGCCTTTTTGTTGTTTTCAGGCCCTCAACAGATAGGGTGATGACCACCCACCCTGGAGAAGGAGATATTCTTTACTCGGTCGACCCATTCAAATGCTACTCTTTTCCAGAAACACAGACACACTCAGAAGTAACGCTTTTCCAGCTATCTGGGTATCCTTAGCCCAGTCGAATTGACCCATAAAATTAACCATCACAAACCTAACCTTGTGTGATG